AAGGAAACCCAGATGCAAGCTTGCTAGCTAGACTAGTCATATTGAGAGACCCTGCCTCAAAGAGTAAATAGTGATTTAGGGAAGACTCCTGATATCAATCTTGGGCTTCCATGCGCATGTACACACATATGTGCCTACACACATACAACCATGCACACAAACATACCACACACACATAAGCATGCAAGAAAAAGAAAAGAGACAACACTGAGATGAGTCTAAGTAAAGGTGGGTCCCTTCTCTATCCCAGGTTAGCCAACAATTCTGCCTTAACAAGGCTAGAATGGCTCATCACCCCACAGGTCACATGCACTGCCATGCCAGGTCACCAAACTGCTCCGAGTGTCTCCGTCAACCCCTGTGAATTTCAATGGTGTTGACTCCAGGTACCTTGGAGAAGGTTCCCATCTTCATCCTCTTGGCTAAGAACATCTTACATTATTTACTTTTTATTTAATGAGCAAGCTAAATGTAGAGCTCAGTGGAGAGCTTGCAGCAGTCAGTTCTCTCCTTCCACCATCTGGGTCCCAGAGATTGAACTCAGGTTGTTCAGTCCTTCTTGGCAGGTGCCTTCACCCACTGAGCCGTCTCTCCAGCCCTCTTTTTATCTCTTGAGAATGACAGTATCCTCCTCCCCATGATACCACCCTCTCTGTGGTTGCAATAGCAGGCTGGCTCTGTGGGCATCCCTCACCACACTAGGGGAGAAGACGTAGCAACAGTTCCTACCTTGGGGTTGATGAAAGCCTTGGGGGAGGTGATGGCACTATGCTGTGGTCTGCTCCTCTCTGGGTTCCATCCTCAGCTCCCACCAGGACATGTTAGTAACTAGAGTAAGCAGAGTTGAGGCTTCTCTCCTAGCTCCAGGGCATGGTTGCTCTAGAATGCTGTATATACCTTTCTCATTGCTGTGACAGAACAGCTGACAGAAGCAGCTAAAGGCAAGAAGGATTTATTTGGGCTCATGGTTAAGGAAGGGATGCCATCCATCATGGTGGGAAGGCGCAGTGATGGGAGCATCAGGCAGCTGGTCACATTACATCCCGAGTCAGGAAGGAGAGAGAGATGAATGCTGATGCTCAACTGCTTTCCCCCTTTTTATTCAGTCTGGAACCCCACACCCTGGGAAGGTTCCCTCCTCAATTAAACCTACCTGGACACGCCCCGACAGACATGCCCAGAGGGAATCTAGGTGACTATAAAACTGTCAGTTCATATAATTAATCATATGTATTGGTTTTCTGATTGAAGAAAAAAAACAAAACAAAACAGGAGAACTTTAAAAAAGAGAGAGAGGGACTGGAAAGATGACTCAGCGGTTAAGAGCACTGATTGCTCTTCCAGAGGACCCGGGTTCAATTCCCAGCACCCACATGGCAGCTCACAACTGTCTGTAACCCCAAGATCTGACACCCTCACATGGACATACACACAGGCAAAACACCAGTGCAAATAAAATATAAACAAATAAATTATTAAAAAAGAGAGAGAGGTTTATTTCAGCTCATGATTTCGGAGGGCTCGGTCCATGGTTGCTTGGGCAGAACATCTTGGTGGCCAGAGTGTATAGTAGAGAAGCTCCTTGGCCTCATAGAGGGCAGAAAAGCAGAATGAACCACTTCCTGTAGCTGGGACTCACTCCCAAAATAGCACCACCAGCTGGGGACCAAACCTCCTTGGGACACTTCATATACCAGCCACAGCAGATCTAATAACAAGACTGCGCTTTCCAGCCACAGATGTCCTGATTGCTAAGGCGAGAGAAGAGAATAGCTCCCAGAGGACAGAGCCTGTCCCACCAGGGGGTCCTCAGCAGGCCTGCTCCTAGGGAAGAACAACTGTGGGATTGTAGGTGGCCACAGCCCAGCTGCAGCCCAAGAGTGGCACTGTGGGTGTTGCTATTATGTCTCAGCACAGTGTCCTAGCGCCTATTCCTAGCCATTTTCCACCAGGAGCAAAGGCCAAGTCCTGAGAGTCCCTTCAGCTCCCAATGCCAGCTGCTGCTACTGGGAAAAACACTGTTTTTCTTCTGGTGAGATTTGGATCCAAGAAATGGAAGAAAGCATGTGGCCCCGGACCTTTCTCCCTCTGGGTTTAACTTTCTCATGTCTTAGGAGTGAAACAGGAAATGCTGGGAACACTTGCTTCTGGTCCTCATAGCAAACAGACCCTGGACACTGCACTCAGTAGTCTGTATCACCCATCACTCAAAACAGGGCTTGAGGAGACTTCATCCACTATGTAAATGTCCTCTCATCACAATTCTGCCAGGTTGTTAGATATTCCCCTCTTCAGCTTCCAAAGCAAGAGATAAGCCTGGCAGTGGTGGCACACACCTTTAATCCCACACTCAGGAGGCAGAGGCAGGCAGATCTATGTGAGTTCAAGGCCAGCCTGAGCTGTTAAACAGTTTGGGGACTACAACGCAGCAGAGCCCGGGAGACTGGTGGGTAAAAACCAAGCGGCCAGCAAGGAAAAGGCTTCTCTCTACACACACACACACACACACACACACACACACACACACACACACACACACACGATAAAGTACATGAAATAACTTTTAAAAGGAAATAAAACAAGGCACTAGAGGGTTGGGGACATAGCTTACTGGTAAAGTACTGGTCTACCATGCATAGGGTTCTGAGTTCAGTCTCCAACATCATCAAGGAAAACATTATTTCTAAAGTAAGAGTATCCAGTTCTGACCATCTTACCAGTCTCACCCACTCAGAATGTGACCCACCTTTTATTTAAAAAAAGGGGGAACTCCCACAATGGAAGGGGACCCCATTCTCAGGGAGTCTGAGGTCACTTCCCTACTTAGGAAATGCCAACTGTCTTCATAGTCTGACCCAGGTTCTTGCCATGGTTTCTAAATGTCTTACAGGCCTTCCCTGCCTCCTCCTCTGCCTGACCCACCTTCCCCATCCCACTTCAGAGTCTCCCCCCAGCATCCTATAAGCATGTGCCTGCAGCTCCCCGGTACACTGGTCCACTCTGAAGTAGACCACTCCTTCTGCACAGTCATCTTTTTTAGACCAAACCTATGGGCTCCCTCTCCAGCTCACCCCCTTGCCCACATGTGTCTTCCTGAAAACCTCTCTGTACCAGCTGCATTTGGGGTTGGCTGGGTGAGGGGTGTTTATTGACTTTCCCATTAACGAGCTATGGTTGACATCTTTCTACATGCCACCTGGGGAAAGGGCAGCCCCACGGGTCCCTCTGCCCCTCCCGTATCCGTAATGCCGTGAGTGCATCTTGACCCAATTCTTGTTCCCTGGACTCGATATGACTCATCTTTGTTACCTTTAACCACCAGTTCTCCTTGCCCTGCACGCAGCCCTGGGATGAACGCCCAGCTGAGCCTCAGTTAATGTTTGTTGAATGACTGATTGGGTTTTTGTGGCCTCTGAGAGGTAAATGAAAGGCAGCCAAAGCCGTGGGAATAATTATCTTGCTTAAAAGACACACTTGTTAGTTCCAGGCCAAATCTTAGAACTGATTCCAGCGAGGTTGCTTTCTCTGCCCCTCTCTTCTGGCCCCTCTGGAGCTGCAGTCAGAGGAGGAACTGCAGTGAGAATTCAGAGCTGATAAATTTCTTCTGCAAATGTCCCGCTTGCCCATGGCATGGCATGCTGATTCCTGTCACCAAAGAGGAAGTGCCAGTGTGGCCTCTCTGGTGACTCTTCAGTGTACCCTCTCCACATGTTGCCCCCAAGGAAAGGGACTGTGGAGCATGTGCAGGCCTGGGCATAGGGTGGGGGGCTGCAGGACTGCATCATTACAACGGGTAGATGGTTAACCCAAGGGAGGATTCTTCTTGGTCCCTCCTCTGTCAGAGACTTCACCTTTAATCACTGGCCCTTGTGGAAAGTGTGAGGTCCCAGCACAGCAGAGTGCCGCTACAGGGGAGAGATGCCCACCTCCTCCTCTGCCCCAGCTCTCAGATGGCAAGGGGCCGTGGGCTAGGAAACAAGTACATCCGCAGAAAAGGAAGGGCAGAGATGACCCTTGGTTGCGTTAAACATGAGGCATTTTGGATTGCCACAGCAGATACAGCAGGCAGGGCTGCAGCTTCAGGTGACTGTCCAGCTCTGTGCTCTTCCTGCACTATCCTTGGCCCCAGGAACCTGAAGGCCCCACTGCCTGCGATGGTTTTCAGTCTGCTGGTGAATACTCCAGTTTTCAGGTTATCTCTGTCCCCATCCCCCACGTTTCCTGTTATTGTAGCTCAGTTGCTTGCAGTTCTCCCTCTGCGCTTAATGAAGTTTGGGGAGACCCGCCTTGCAGTCACCTCATTTATTCAGGGTGGCTTTCTCCATCCTGTGCCCTCACCTCCCCAGGCCCATTATATTGGCACAGTTCCTGCGTCTCCAGGCCTCAGCTGCCCATGCCAGCATGTTGTGTCCATTCGTGTGTGAGTGTGTGGTGCTGGCCTTAGGGTGGCTGGGGATACATGAATCAAGCCTCTGTGACCACGCCTCCATGGAGCCTGGACTAGTCCTTGGAAGACTTTGGGCTTCTTTGGTTTCATACTTTATTCATTTCTAAGCCACCAAGAGCTGACTGTGAGGACAGAGGGCTACCTCTGAACATGAGTCCACAGGCCCTCCCAAAGAAGCCAAGTGAGTGTCAAGCAAGCTTTGAATATCAGGCCTGGTGTCTAAATCCATAGGATCACAGAAGAATATCCAAGGAACCACCCAAAATCCTGGGCCTATGCCCTCATCCTTCCCTCTCCACCCCTCCCCCAAAACAGGCAGGAATAGAGGAACTCAGTTCGTGGAGACTGAGGAGGAAGAAGGACGGGATAGGGATCTCGAGAAACCGAGATGTGCTGGACCTAGAAACAGACCACAGAATTCTCCCCTGCAAAGCTATCAGTGGTCAAACCAGATTTTGATATCTACTTAGTTTGATCTCAGCTCTTGTTGGACTCTTAGAAGGTCCGTCCACTGTATGATCATCTTTAAAGAACTATTTTATTTCCAATGCAGACACAGCCCTTGATGTAGCAATCAAAAACAGCACCCCCGGGAGACACATGGCTGTGAAGTGTTTGGGTATGTAACCTCCTGTCTTTGCCTGCACAGAAGGCTTGGTCCCACTGTTCTTTATGTCCCTCACATGGGTGTCTCCCCTCCCCTGGAGCTCAGACTTCAGGATGCACTGGAGGTCAGCTAGGACAGGAGGTCTCTTCTGCAGGGGACTGGTTTGGGATAGGGAGTGGTGACCATCTTCCACCCAACAAGAGTTTCTTTGAGAGCGCCACTCCCTGCCCCCCACTCTGAAGATGGAAGTCAAATTTTGGGACTCTGCTGTGCAGAGCAGAGAGGTCACTGGGCTCTAATGCATTTACCATTGACTGCCCCTCTTGTAGTGCGTCTATTAGTGAGTAATTTGATTTGTACCTATTCATTTGCAGTCCCTGCAGGAGCCTGGAGCTGGCCCCTAGTATAATTGGTGCTGTCTCTATTTTTACATCATTAGATTAGCCCCGACTCCTGGCCACTTGTTGTCTGCGCTTGTCTGTCCATTTATACAACCTAATGTAACACAAAATTCATTACTGATCACATTACTTTCAACTCTGAAGCCAGCCTTGTGATAAACATTTGGTTAACCCCTTCCTACCCACGGGAAGGCTGGCAGAACAAATGCACTTCTGCTCGACAGGCAAATCAATATCTTAATACACCAAAGTGGAATTGCATTTCTAGATTTGTTATCCCTCCTGGTGGAGCAAATGGAAAGGCTCGCCCGAGCCAGCTGAATTGAATAATGAATAGGACCCGGCACCAGCAGCCTGTCTGTGAGGCCAGCACAAAGGCAGAGCCCCATCAGCCCAGCCTGGGCTGCAGTCAGGGAAGGGTGGCACCACTGTAGTTAAGTGAGCGCCCCCAGCCATGGCGCAGGCGCACAGGCTCTGCAGCACAAGTACTTGAGGCCATAACTGGGGCCGCAGAGGCCTCATGTTGATGCATGTCTTTCGTCAGACTTCACATGGGACCACTGGGCAGGGAGTTGGGTCGGTTCCCTTACAACTTTACTCATTGATGGAGAGGCTCCCAAGCATGTGATCCTAACCTAAATGCCACCCAAAAATTAAATTGACTACCAAGACCAAGTTTACATTTGGCAGCAAATACAAAAAGGCGGCATTGGTAGGCCCCTACCCATCCTCCAGGTGAGCACTGTACAACCCACAGATGCCACGCATGCCTGTGCATGGGTCCAGTTGTAAGCACTTAGTGAGCCTTTCATACAGGCGCTAACCAAGAGTTTTCAAGGGATCCCAGCACAGCTTCGTTTTTAAATCTAGAATTCGGCACAGCCCCAACCCTTGTCACCCCCTCCCCAACTTCCACTTGTCTCTGGGTTGCATCCACAGCCACAAGTCATTAACTCACAGGACAGTTTGTTTCAAAGGGGAAAAAATACCTCCACTTATTAAGAACTGCTCATAAAGCCACACCGTAATGATGAGAAATATCGGCATGGAGGAAATAGAATGGAACCCATTACCATGAAAGTCATAAATCCCCGAGTAAAAAGACGCCATAAACTGAAGATGCTCGGGTGGGAAGGGAAGCAGGAGCCTTCTGCTTGGCTGTGGGGACATCCTAAGCAGGAGCCTGGAAAGGAAGATGCCCTGTGGGTATGGTACTGAACAGATCCTGCTGTCCTTGCTGTTCCAAGCTCTTAGATGAAGGCCCGAGGCATTCTCTTCATGGCTCAGACGTCACTCTTGCTCTCATATGGTAGACTGATGCCTCCTTTGTGTATGAGGGCAGAGAGAGCTGGGGAAGGGGCACCCCTGTGCAACAGTCCTGACGTCACAGAGTGAGGGCTAGGAAGTGTCTGGAAGTACCTTCCTCACCCTGCCCTGGGCTTTAGGTCCAGTGTACAGGGTGGGAGGGTCTGTTGTCCCAGCACCTCAGAATCACCACTCTCAAGCACTTCGTGGCATAAGGGGCTACAAAAAAGGGGTAGCATAGTTTAGAGGTCCCATATCTCCCAGTGGAAGGAGACTGGCATCACTGAGGGAAGCCGGCCTCAGTGTCTGCCGCCTCAGGGCTAGGGAAGAGCTTCACAGGAAGAATGGTGACAGTCACCTCCCCCAACCCACCAGCCCCCAGTGTGGACTTGTTTACCCACAGGCCTGCAGTTTAGTCCTCTCTGGAGGGTAGACAACATGGGGGGTACCCTGTGTACCACATACCTTAGTTCAAGCTCCTCAAGAGGCTGAGGTGGAAGAATCCCTCAAACCAGGAGTTCAAAACCAGCCTGTATAACACAGTGAGAGCCTGTGCCAAAAGAAGGAACAGAGGGAGGAATGATGGAAAGAAACAGGGGAAGAAGGAAGAATAGAGACCGCTAGATAGGGGGTGGGGTAGGTCTTTACCCTCTCAGGCTAGAACCGACCAGTCACAGGAAAGGGGTTAGTCTGCTGGTGGAACAAGAAACCGATTTCTTAGCCCTGATGGAAAGGGGGTAAAGCCTCCTCTTACCGAACTCTTCCGCTGCGCCGCAGAGAATTTAATTACACTTGGACATTTAAATGAGAACCAGATGTGGCTCCAGCCCCCACCCCGGTCAACTGTGTTCAAAGCGTAGCGTCTCTCCTGTGGTCTGCAGGCTCTGTGCTATCTCATAAGGCTGGAGGCTAGCTCGGAAAGTACCCTGTCTGACAGCTTAGGCTGGGCCTCCAGGCCTTGTAGCTGGACTTGAGGAGGCAGGCGGGTCAGCACCAGCTGCTGAGCACCTGGCTCCCAGCGAGTGTCTCCTCTTTAGGACTGTGTGGGCTGGAGCACACATGTCCAGTTCATGAGACTCCTCCCAGCCCCTCATTAGGATCCACACCAAGAAGTCATGCCATAGCACAGGGCCTGGCCTCCTCCATCCCCAAAGATATGTCTCTATGCTGCTCAACTCTGAGTCGGCCTTAAATGGCATCTACCAAGGCTCCAGACCTGGTCCTAGAAAGAGTGCTTCTGCTTCTCTCTGGGTGAGATGTCTGCAACAGGTCTTTCAACCTGCTGAAGGTGCCAGGTGTCCTAAGATACTCTCTGACAAGTATCGAGCTTGTCAGGGCCCCTCCTGTCTCCTGAGAGCTTCACACACCCGTCATACCGCTCTGCACACTGTCCCCTCATGGTCTGCAGATGCAAGTGACCTGCCCAGGTTACTCAGCACTCTGTGACAGCACTAGGGCCAGAGCGATGTCCCTCCCATGACGCTATCCTTGCGGCCCTCTGTGGGGAGCTCAGTCAGGGCTAACTGAAGCTTGGCTTTAGCCAGTCATCACAGGCCTCAGAGGGAAAGTGTGGGCCAGGTCAACTCTGCCTTTTCTGCCCCCTCACATAGTCTCCTGTGACAGAAGGAATTCAGCCTTGGTCAGGATTTACAGTTACTTTAATGCGATGGGTGCTGGGGGGTCTCTGAGTGTCAAAGGATGTGGCATGAGTACTGGTCCTTCTGTCTTGTCCTCGGAAGCTGAGACTTAGGGAGGTTCAGATGGTGTGGGTTTCCTAGGAATGGGGTCTGCAACCCTGATGGTACAAGAACTTTCCCTTCATGGGTGGGTAGGCTCCAGCCCCGGAACAGACCAGTGGTCCTCCCAACCAGACCCCACCCACCAATCTGACTCGGCTCTTCAGCACTTCAAAGGCTGATGAGGGGCTGTGCTATAATCAGGGCTGCCTGGAGCTCCAGTGCCCCGCCCCCACCGCACCCGTGCACACATGCATGCACAGACATATTTAGTCAGCTCCAGCAGAGAGGCTAGAGACCATGCAAGAGGCCTCCTTCTGAGAACTCCTCCCCTCCCGCCCCCCCCTTCATACCCCTGCTTTTATTCTCCTTCCTCTGGTTTTCCAATGTACCTGTCCCTGTCACTGTGTGCCCCTCTCCCATGAGCCCACCAGGGCTTCAGCGGCCTCCAGGCCCCTATGCAGTGGTGTTGGTACCACACTGCCTGCTGTTAAGAACCGAATTCCCAGGGCTCTTTGCCAGGCTTCTGGGTGGAAGCTAGAGCTAACGATTTCTGCTGGTCCGTCTGTCTCCCTGAATACTGCTCCTTCCTAGTACTGGCCACCACTGTCACTGTCTAAAGCCTGTGGGTACCCAGGAGCATCTGAGTTCTCTTGGGCCTCAGGTCTCTCTCTCCACAGTAGTAACTAAGGCTCTTAGTCACCATGCATGGCCCTGTGGTCAAGGCTCCCCGAGCTGAAAACCTCTGAGATCTGCCTTCACCGCTGGCAGCTGATGGCTGGGAACAGGATGGGCCATATAGGCTTAGCCTCATTCTCTCATGATGGTCTGTGTCTCATTGGGCATCTGAGTCAGGGCAAAGCAGAGCAAAGAGAAAGGCAAGTGTGTTCATGGGAATCCTGAGGGTTGACCTGGCCAGGAAGGAGACTTCTGTTGCTCCAGGCAGCTGCACTCCGAAAGCATTCAGGGCGCCAGGCTGTGTGCGTGGTGAGACACCAGAAGCCTGGCGTCAGCCAGCCAGGGATCTGGGTTCAGACATAGGTGTTAAGCCCTGGAGATAAGAGCAGGCCAGAGCTAGCCCTGCTTTTCGTCTCCAAACCAGAATTCCAGTGATCTGAATAGGTAGAGCCTTTTCAACCTTAGCCTTGTAGCTTCGAGAAGGCAAACCTGGCAAGTTCCCAAAGACCCTGCTGGAGGAGAAAGGTGACACCGGTCTCAGTCTCCACTAGCCCTCAGCCCCCAGCTTTTCCAATCCTCAGCAGGATGGGAAAGCCCTTTGACTATTAGCATCTTTGCACGCTTAGAAGCCTGATGGGAAGGAAGGCTGGAGAGGACGCAGAGGGAAGGCAGAAGATCCAGGCAGCCTCCGAGCGGGGAGCCTCTGAGCGGGGAGCTGTGCTAGGTGCAGAGGAAAGTTGTTTCCTTTAACTGCTGTACTTTATCCTCCTCAAAAAGGGGCCTGGTCCAAGCAAGGCTGGCTACAGCCCGGAGTGTGGTCCCCGATGGTGCTGTCACAGTTCAGCAAGAGTCTCAGCCAGCACCATCTATGTCCCCAATAAACAAGCTTCTACCTCCTCAGCCACCCTCCAAGAAAACAGCAGTGTACAGGCCTTGAGCTCGATAAGACAAGCAACTCCTCACCATGTCTGCCAGGTCCAGCCACCTCCCAGATGACATCAGGGTCAGTTGTCCAGGTGTCTCTCAGCCCCAGGAAGCATTCAGGCCCCCCATCTCCCCTTTGTCTGTGTGTGTGTGTGTGTGTGTCTGTCTGTCTGTCTGTCTATCTCTCTCTCTGTGTCTCTCTCTCCTCTCCTCTCCTCCCCCCTTCCTTTTTCCCTCTCTTCCTTTCTGTACTGTTTTGCCTAGCTAGTTCTAGCCGCCCCCCCCCAGCCCTAACCCCAGTGTGCAAGCTTCTTGCTAACAAAATAGCTTGCTTGGGACAAACTCGATCTGAACCAATTTGCTGAACTTGTAACTATCTTGTGGTCATCTGGTCTCCTCACTTTTATCCCTTCAAGGGAAAATGATGGTCACTGAGACTTCTTAATGAGGGGACACCCCATCCCCCTCACCCAACACATACCTGCTTCTCCACCCAAGAACCCTCAAGCAGAAGGAACTCAGAACTGTTTTGTTTTTTACAAATCTTTTCTGTGTCAGGCACTGGGCAAGACAGGGCACGTGGCTGGCTTCTCTGTACCAGTTCACTGCCCTGAGCTCCCATCAAACCCACCCCAAGCAGGGGTCTTTAACCACAGCCCCTGCTACTGTGGGAGCGCTGGGAGGCAGACACGGGAGAGAAGAAAAGCCAACACATGTCAGCAGGGTTAGGATTTATTCTCCATCTCGGGAGAGGGTGTTTGGAAAGAGGCAAGGAAGGAAATGAAAAGCTATAAACACGAATCTACCATCTCCCTCCCTGGACCATCTCTTGTTTAAAAAGAAAGACTCTTTGCCCAGGCTCCAGTGGAGACAGAGCTGGTGGGGGCTTGGGTGGCAGGGCCACCTGTGGGGGGGGGGGGGCTGGAGAGGGCCCTGACGTCCTAGGGATAATCACAGTGACTAATTCGATTGCAGCAATAATAGTAACTCACATTTGCTGACTGGAAGCTTTAAGCACTTTGGGATGTGCTCTACATGCATTATTTAATTTCATTCCTACGGCCAGGCTCTGAAACAGACATAGTTATCCTCATGCTCAGGAACCCAGGGCACCTGCCCAAAGTCACCAGGAAGCAGGTGGCCAACGCCTGTGCTTTTTTTTAAAGGTGTCCCTAGACTGCTTCCTCCATCCCAGGTAGATGGGTCTACCCACCTGCCTTTCCCCTCAGGCTGAAGTTCTGAGTCAGACAGTTAGGGGGAGGCATAGCCCTCTTCACCACAGGAAGTAGCCAGAAACTCAGCAGGGACAGACTCCTCCCACCAGGTCTAATCTCACTCCTACTGGGCAGCTTGGGTGGTTAGTTTAGGACCAGGGTATATGGCTATAGCCAGGACCTAATAAAAGTGCTCCACTAATCCCTTTAATGAGCAGCATCTTGGCACTCATGCACTCAGAGCAAGACTGGCTGGGGCAGGCAGGGCTGGGGCCTGTTATCCTTTTATGGTGGCAGAAGTCCCAGGACTACCCCAAGACTGAGCCTGGGTCCCTGGGTACCCTCTTCCAAACATGCACAGCACCCAAGGCAGGGTCCTTCTGGATCCTGGAGACTGGGGCTCCTCACAGCTCTGCACCAGCCAGGGCCCTCTGAGGGTCTAGACTTCAGGTAGTCAGACCTGAGGGATGCCCAGCCCAAATCAGGTTCACTTTTGGCCTTCTGCTGGAATCCTCTTCCCACTAAGGCTGCCACTAGGGCCTAGTGTCCTCAGTGTCTCCCTCCTTCCCCGGAGAATGGGAGCCAGACCTCACGATGCTCAGTGTGGTAACTGAGGCATGAAAAGTCATGCCACCATCCCAACTCCCTTCCACTCATCGGCTCCCACCCAGAGCCATGGCACAGCAACTCATGCTTGGCCAAGGGACTGTACCCACTGTGTAGGATGAGGAACAGGGGCAGCTGTGCCTGTCTCCTCACGGAGATTGAGTGTGTGATGGCTCCTCCCTGTGTGTACCTCTGCAGATGCTCCCAGGTAACCCCAGCCCTTCCGAGAGGCCAGCCACCCCTCTATGCTCTGAAATGCCTTAGGAGTTTGATAGGCTCCACGTAGAAGTGGAGGGGGGGGTAACGTAAAGACAAGGCCTCCTCCTCGGTAGGTTTATTTATTTTGTGAGAGCAGAGGCCTCTCCCTCCCCATTGCTGCCCCTGCTGTCCTCTCCTGTTCCCTGTGGCCTGTCCATCCCAACCTGTGCCATCAGGGATCAGCTACAGTAACAAGCCTATTTTCTAGCAAGACCAGTAGGGACTGGGGATATAGGCAGTAATGGACATTGGAGTCTGGCACACTGTGGCCTGCCTCAGGGCCAGTGCTGCCTGTAGGGTAAGCCCAGGGCCCGTGGCTTCCTCTTTGTCCTCGATGTTGCTGTATGGAAGACAGGGCTATCATTCCTACCTTCCAGAGTCACCAAGTCCCTGGAGAATATGAGGGCACAGTCTGAGTCGGAGCACTTGCTTGAGGTGCCTCCTCATGTCACTGCTGGGGTGGGGAGAACAGCTTTCTTATAGCCTTGTCCCATGGGCCAGACTCCATGCTGCTCTAGTTGCCTGGCCCTGGCTGGTTTCTGCTAGGCTTCATCAGGAGTCTACTTACACTGCAGGAAAGCTGCTGCTGAGATCTGGGGAGGCTGGGTGGATGTGGGGGTTGAGCCAAAGGTAGGCCACTAAGTCAAAATGCCCAGGGTACCCCCAGAAAACTCATCAGCCTGCCTTCTTCCTCTTCCTCTCCCAGCAACCCCCCTGCATGGGGTCCCATGTGGCACTGCATGGGCCATAGGTCCCTGTGTGTCCCCTTGTAGAAGCTGTTGTGTGATGCTTACTATGTGATTCCTCTCCCCCCATACTGAAAGATTCACAACACTTCTACCTCTGGGCCTGCCCCCCCATGACTGGTCAGTCTCCTGCCGCGTCACGTGCATGCCAGTGTCCTGGACAGCAGAATCCCTCTGCAAGACCGCCCTCTTCCCGTGTGCCGCCCCCGCACCTCCCTCCACCCTCTCCCTCTGCTTGTGGAGATCAGTGTACTTCTGGATCATTGTCCATATCTCTCAAAGGAAACAAAGAAAAAGATTCCTCAATGCTTTTCTTTTCACAAGGGAAAAAAAAAGGAAAAAAAAAACAATGCCAACAGCCCAGCATCCGTGAACAACCCAACAATAACAAAGCATGCGTTCGGGATGGAGGAAGGTAAGGCCACGCGTTTCCACTTGCCACTTGCTCCTAGGGCTGGGTGGGGTGATCCCAAGTGGGGATCCTGTATGTATCAACCCTTCTCCATGCTCACTTCCTACACACTGTCACCCTTGCGTCTTTGGAGGGACAAAGAGAGATGTGGATTGACATCGGGTACATAGGAAAGCACCCCAGAGACTATCCCAGGACCAGCCAAGCCCTGGATTCTGCCACTAATTAGTTCATGCTGGAGAAAGGCCCTCTGTCTCCCTACCACATCATCCATTCCAGAAATGTTCAGTCCCGGGGATTGTGATTGGAGAATAGAGATGAGGCACACACTCCCTACCAGGGCCTGTCCTCCTGCAGGAGGGGGAGTGATGCACTTGGAGGCATTCAAGGGGCCTAGTTAGGAGTGGAAATGTGGAGTTCAGCAGGCCTTGGGGCTCTGCAGTGCACATCCGGGGTCACAAAAGAGTGGACACCCATAGAAAGCCCATAGAGATGAGCAGGTACTCTGGGGCCCGGTGACCTCAAGTTTTCCATACAGGAGCATCAGGCTGTGAACAGCCATTTGGTAGTGCCAGGAAGTTTATGCCTAGGGACACTGAGGCGTGAGTGACCGCCTCTAAGTGGAGGAATAACAAGATGGTGTGTTGGAGAGTATCCTGGCTTTGAGTGGATAAGTATGACGACCTGGGGACCCAGTGGCCAGTTCAGGGTCCCCAGGGAATTATTAAATGGAGACAAAGTCAAAAAAAATCTTAGGTACCCTGGGATGTGGAGGCAAGGAGAAGGCTTGCCCGGCCCCATCTCTCCCAGGCCTAAGTAACAAAGCAAAAGCTTGAGCCGGACATTTCGGCCGTACCTGGCCTCCAAGAGAGCAAATCCACCTCATAGCCCTCTGGCAACTGTCCCTGCACTGTCATTTGATGGATAGGGTGTGTCTACTCAGACTCATGGTGGGGTCACCAAGATGGCTAGGGGTATTGCTGAGACCTATGCTGAGGGACAGTGGGCTGCCACGCTTGGGCTTGGGCTTCCTCAGCTTCTTTGGCAGTATGGATACGTCGCATTTTGTATCAAGACTGTTGGGGCTCTCCCTCTGCTCGGCAAAGAAACCACCCTCCCCCTACTGATGGCTCTCTGGCTCCTTTATTTATCTGGGGCAGTCTTCCTTGGGCCTGCATTCATCCCATCTGTATCTTGAAGAGGCCCCTGCCTTTCTTGCTACTGCCTGCTCCTCTCTTGCCCTCCTGGCCCTGCTATCAGCGCCCCCTAGTGCTAGGAAGGCTGCGCAGGAGGGCATGGGCCTCCGAAGCTACTTGGGTCCTTGGGTTTCTCTGGGAAACTCCTGGGCTTGCTTGTGGGAAGAGAAGGGAGGAGAAGGAACTCCGCCGGAGTCTACTGCTTGCTCACTAATGCTCAGGGCCTTCCCTTTGCTCTTTAACCCTTCCCTTCTAGTGATGCAGTGGCCCCACCCCCATGGGAAGATGAACCTGAAAGCTAAGCAGGAAGAAAAGATCCGAGCAGCCCGTCTAGTCTTTTTGCCCATACAGAGCTGTCTCGTGGCTTTCCCAGGACCAAGGCCCCATAGGAAACCAGTGTCCAGTCCCTCAGCCGTGTCCCCGGTCCCCCTCCTTCTACCTCCTACTCACAAAGCTCACAACCTGATGGGAATCTATAATATTCTGGTGTGCTCATCTGGCCTTGGACTCAGGTCCAGACATGACTGGCAGAGTTACCATTTCCCTGTCCCAACTTGGGCTATAGTGTGGCCTTCAGAGTGTGGGAGTAGCTGCCTGGTGATGACCAACCTAGTGGAGGCCATGCCCCCTCACTCCCTAACCAAAGCCAGCTGCGTTGCATGTGTATGGCGGCAGGGGCCTGGGGCGGGGACAGACTGGATACTGAGCTCTGCAGCTGGATCAGATGAGTGTGTTGCTGGGTATACCTTGATGTTTCGAGTAACTGCTTTGAGATCCTAACTCCTGAGGTAGACAAGCAAAACTCTCTAATCACAGGCTTCAGAGGAAGAAGCCAAGCTATAGGTCACCTCTGAGCTTGGAAAAGACTCCAGAAACTGTCTGTGCATGTGCTTGCCGGTATCTCAGAGGGAACAGGAACTGGCCACTCTGAGAAAACCAATAAAGGAATCCAGCAAACAGGGAATCCTATCCCAGCCCTCTGCCTGCCCCAATTGTTGTCTTGGATGAAGAAGAGGTGGTGAGACAGTTACAGTTACCATAGCTAAACAACATAGGTCTGTGTGCCGTCTCCAGAATAGCAGTGTGGACGTACAGGGACTAGAGCCGCAAGACATTGCTAGTCTACAGATCATCTCAGCATATCCATTCTGTGGGTCTCCAGGAGACTTTGCAGGGGGGACTAAGAGGAAATACTCATGCAAGTAGAGGACCCTCTCTCTAGTGGAATAGGCTTCCCTTCAAAAAGGAGCCCATTATACAGAGAAGGCATACTCTTTCTAGAAGGTGCAAGCAAGCTCAAGCCTGGCTAGCAGAGCTTTTGTGGGGGAGAATAAGGGAACAGTGGGTGGCTAAGCTAGGATGGAGCTCTGGGGACAGGTCAGGCAGGCAGGCTGTCTCTTCTCTTGCCCTGGCTTCTGCCCACCTGCTGATCCTAGATAGTATGCACTGAGGAACTGGAGGAGAATGCTGGCTGAGCATGAGTGTGTGTGCAGGCGCTAGCCTGTACTCCGAGAGTAACTGTGCCACCCACACAGGCCACCAGGGGATTATACTTCTGGCCTCAAGGCTTCCCCTCACAGTGAAAGAAACACCCAAGTCAAAGCTGGAGTTTGCTAGCCAAGGGGGCTTCCTCTCCCCTGACTGAGTCACCCTGTGACCTGAGCTGCCACTTGGCCCATATGGAGAGCAGGTGGGCACGAGCCTCCCTGCAAAAGAGTATGAATGAACCCACAGTGGGGTTTCATGGTGAGCAGCCAGGCCCAGGGTGTGCCCTCACCTCCAGCCTACTCTGACCAAGCCTGGCCCTCTCCTCTGTCTTGCAGAACTTCAGCGAGAGGGAAGCATCGAGACTCTGAGTAACAGCTCAGGCTCCACCAGTGGCAGCATCCCAAGAAACTTCGATGGCTACCGATCTCCGCTCCCTACCAACGAGAGTCAGCCGCTCGGCCTCTTCCCCACTGGCTTCCCATAGGCACCAGCCACCTGCTTCTGACTGGGAGGGACAGGGAGAAGCCCCCACCCTATCCCCCCGCACGCCTCTGGTCCTGCCCTTCTCAGTCTCTGCTCCTCTTTCATCAACTCCACCTTCCCTAAACTTAGTGACAACAGCTGCTCATCCTATCTGGACGAGAAGAGACCTCCAGAACACCTCGGCACACCCTGACCTCTGCCACTCCTGTCATTGGGGGCTGTGGCTAAAAGAGACTGCAGAAACTCTGTCCCTTCTCTCTTTGCACATAATGTCCCGCATCGGATCCGCTTTTGTATTTTTTAACTGTACCCACAGGGGGACTGGATCAGTAGCCAGATCTTAGGGCCTGGGTGGGGAGAAGTTGAATGGTCCAGCCAGGCATTTTGGTGGACAGTGTCAGCCCTAGCCCACTCCAGGCTATGGTGCACACTGCCCCCAGGCATCCCTGCTCAGTTCCCTCCAAGACAAGAGTGAACTGAAGCCCAGAGTGATAGGGAAGGCAGAAAGAGGCTCCCTTTGGCCCTTGCTTTCCTGTTGGCTCATGGGGAAAATTTGTCTGTCTTATCTTTAAGCCCTTGTACCCTGGTCCTGTACTGTTCAGTGAAGGAAACCATGGTTACTGAGGCCATGTCAAAAGTGCACGTCTTGTCCAATAAATCACGCTGCAATTGGTGTCCATCCCTGAGTTTCTGGGGTCAGAGTCCTCTCCAAACCCTAAGCAAAGTCATGTGGGTCTGACTAAGGGCAGCCGCTCCCAACACTCATACCCCCACTATGTACAAGTGACAGGGAGCCCATGTTGGGAAAGAGAGGGGAGGAAAACCTTCCCACTGGAAATAGATGGGGCTTCACTGAAGTGCAGTCTCCAAGATTCTTGGCTGTTCCCAGAGCCTGTGACTTCTGGAGGCGCCAAGCTTGGACCCCCCCCCCACTAGTAGACATAGAGGGAAATCCAGCCCCTGATGTGTCATGGGTTGCTCTAGGCAAAGAGCTTGCCCTTGCCTGGGACCTTGTCTTAGGATACTTGGGAATCACCTCTCTTTCAAGCCCAGAAGACAGAGAGCTTGTGAACTAAAGTTGGGTATCTTGTGAAAGTTGGCTACAATCTCAGGTCGAAAGCTCTTGGGTTTTGTTGTTGTTTTGTTTTGGAGACCGGGTTTCAGGTAGCTCAGGCTGACCTCAAACTCACTACGTAGCCAAGTATTACCCTGATCTTCCTGCCTCCACTTCTCAAGTGCTGGGATTGCAGGCATGTGCCACCATACCCGGCCTGAGTTCTTGTTTTATTCCCTTCCTCCTCCTCTTCTAGACCTGAGCAGTAGCAGGAAGACAGTAACTGAACAAGAGAAGTGCAGAGAACAGGGAGCAAGGCTAATGCAGTCTAGCCCCTCCCTCCTTCCACACACCTCAGAGACCTCAGAGAAGGCCTTGAAGGACTGAAGGAAACCGACCAAGCCGGGTGTGCCATAAGATGGTTTTTAATGGAAGAGTTAGGGTCACAGACAAGCAGCCCTTCCCAACCAACCATCTGATGAGAGTTGGGGCCACTCCTGGGCCCCCGCCCTCTCCATATCCCTCCTCCTACCCCTAGTGCCTGGAGAGAAATCTGATATTCAGTGTCCTCCACCAGATCAACTGACCCTATGGGGAGAAGACCTGACTCACACTGTGCCTCCTATCTGGGCTCCTGAGGGCTGAGAATGAAGCTTGCTGGAACACAAGGCCTAGAGGCTTGGCAAGCTGGGACTCCACAGGATAGAAGCTTTTCCCCATTTGGGCAGCATTCAACATCGATGTGCCTGGCACAGCCCCCAACCCCAGCTGGAGCACCATTCAGTCAACAGAGGACAGAAGGAGGGTGCCACAGGCTGCTTGTCCACACAGCTGGTGGCTTGGCTTCCCCGGGTTGGGTACTGAAGCTCTAAAAAGCATGGCCCCTTGGGAGCATGGATGGGACAAAGACATTGGTGCCAGGAACTCTCAGCCATGCAGGGACCTGCAACCCTGGTCCAGTCCTTCCTTCACTGTGTGTGTGGGGGGGGGAGCAGATGTGGCCTCCTCCAGTCAGGGAAAGTAGTGGGTGTAGAGCTGGACGTGTGGCTGAGCTTGCAGGACAATCTGGTTATTCATCTGCTTGCAGTCAGGGCAACTCCAAGTAACTGGGGGAGGGGGAGGATCAGGGAGCCCAGATAAGCCGGCCCCATAGCGGCTGCCTTTGGAGTTCAGGTTATCTGAAAGGCCCTGGGCCTGGCCTCCAGCTAATTGGGAAGGTTAGGGACCCAGCCATAGCCTGTAATCAGCTGAAGGTGAGAGCTGGACAGGGGACCTTACTGCCACTAACCCTAGAGCAGCCAGCCTACAGATAACATCCAAAACAACCTCCACCTCCTCACTGCAACGCCCCTCCCAGACCTCATGATAGCATCACTCAGAAGGTCATCAGAACATGAATCTAATTGTGGCTGGGCCAGGTGACCTTGAGGAAGGCAAGTGACCTCCTCATTCTCACAGCACTGCCTACTCATGGGGCTCTCTCTCAATCTGATGGAAGAAAAATATCTTCTTGGTCTGCTAGGGACTGGGATTTCTGGGATAGATGCAGTCAAAGGCCCAGTGGTCCAAGAACAAAATCACACACAAGCATAGACATCAGGGCCAATTCTGCCAAGGGCATGTAGAAGCCAGGCCACACAGCCACCAGGCTGCAACTGGGGGTAATTTCTCAATACTCGCTTTTAATTTTTATAAATCACAAGCTGTAAGCCCAAAGATGTCACCCACCCTCTTTTTGCTGATGACAAGTCTGAGTCCCAAGAAGGGCAGGACCTTTCCCAAGGTCATGGGTTCACACAGCTAGTCAGCTGACCCCTGTCCGCACCTTGCTCTGGACAGTTTCTGTACTGCCACCTGGATCCCAGCTGACCTCTCCCTCCAGTGCCCCCCCCAAACAATCCCAGACCCATCTCACTGACTCCTAGGCCCTATCTCTTCGAGTTTTCAGCTGGAGTTTCTGGCTGACTTTGAAACTGCTCCCAAGTAACCCCCACACACCCCTAAAATCCAGAGCCCAGTGGAAACCCTGGAGGCCAGTGTGGCTTTCCTCTCTGAGCATGGAAGCGATGCCCCCACTTAGAAATGCCTTTCTAAGGAGTGGATTTGGGATCTGAGTGTGTGACTTTTTGAGGTTCCAGGGTTCCATTCTAGCTTTTCCACCAGGAACTACATGACCTTAGGCAAATTAGGCTTCAGGATACCTGTTGGGAGAAGTCCTGGGTAGAGCTGAGCAGGGGCAGCATGGCTAAGAGGGACACGATACAGGTCAGAAAGGCCAGAGGGTATCCAGAGGCTACAGTCCAGAGAGTTCATTGGTGGGAATGGCACTGCGGTCCGTGGGGAAGGGGGCAGAGCAGATTGTGACGGCTCTGTGCACCAGGAACTCCAGAGAACCCCCTCCCTTCCTGGTGCAGGCTGACATGAACCAGCCTGTTGAGTGCCCACCGACCAGCCACGCCCCACTATTGCAGGTGGGCCAGTCCTGGAAGCCCTTCTCAGGCTGGTTCACCCTCCTGAGATCATAAAACCAACCCCATGTCCAGGTTCAAGTTCAAGACTTGCACCTCGCTTTTGCAGCCTTGCTTGGAGCAATAGCGACAGCTGCACCACTCATAGAACCAAGACTCAGAGTATTTAGCAGTTTAGAGGCGTTATAGGATTCCTAAAACTCTGGGGAAAGTCGTCCAAAATCGACAAGGACAGCTAGGTTCCTAACCCCTGTGATCTTTCAAGATGCAGGGAGATGTCGCTCCCCATCGCCCAGCTCCCTGTACAAGTGTGCCCCAGGCAAGGAAACCTAACAGGGCCTCACCTTCGCATCGACCTGACCGACGGTTGTGTGGGCCACACAGTCGTTAACTGCTCCAGTGCTTCCCAGAGCCTGACGAGGAAGTGGCCCCTTAGCTGGTCCTGGCACCAGACTAGGGCCACACCATGATCAGGAAGAGGGTCGGGCAGCCCACCCTTCCCGCGTCGCCTGCCGCACCCAGCCTGTTAGCCAGACCCTGCGCTGGGTAATTGGGACGAGAGAGGTAACCAGCGAACTGCGGCTCCAGGGAGACTGCGCGCCTGTCAGCCACAATTTGTTTAAGTGGACGGGACAGGCCGGGCCGCCGCGGGCTGGGGTCACCGAGGCCGCGGCCCCCAGCCCGGCCAGACCGGGACCGCGGGGGAGCCCAGCCCCACTTCTAAACCCGGCTAGCTGGCGCCAAGGCTCCGGGAGGCGCGGGCCCGGTGGAGAAGCTATGGAAGAGAACGACGGATGCGCCTAGTGTCTCCCCCGACCAATTTTCCTAAGCATAGGGCCACACATGTCACCCAAGCTTTCCCCGGTCACATTCACTCGCTAAGTCGCGCTTAGAGCTCAATTACTAACGCTCAAGGTCTCCTCACCCAACAGGACCACACATCCCCCATCCCGCACCCACTCTTTCGGGCTCAGACAAATCCATTCCGGGTTGTGCATGCAGACACCTACAGGTGTTGTGGAATAATCTTTTTCCGCCTACACACAGGGACCTATGCGATGTTTAGGATCAACTCAAAAGAGAGGTCTTAGCCTTGTCTCTTGACCATGCTCGATATTACCGGGCCAAAAGAGGGACCCGGCAGCCGGCTTGGGACTGCAGACCCATCCGGGCCAGGCTACTGGTGCTCGATTTGGTTGTTGCGGGAAGCTAAGAGTAAGGACCACGCGAAAGGGGCCTGGGACCACGAAACCAGCGCCCGCCCGACGCCCCCGCCCAGGACCGCCTGAGAGAGGGAGGGGCAGCTGAGCGCGCGTCCCCCACCCGTCTGCGGGTCCCGGCCGATGCGAAGTGACAGGGGCCGGAGCTTTGTTGTAGAGCCTCGGCCGCCTGGCGCCAGCCGCCCTCGCCGGTGCCCTCCCCCTCCAGCCCCGGGCGGCCCGCGAGGCGCCCCCCGGGGCCTCTTAAAGAGACACGCACACTCTGCCCCGGGGACTCCCCCAGGGGCGCCTGTTCCTGGGAAGGGGAGTGGGGGGTGGGTAGACCCAGGCGAGGGTAGGGCGGAGCAGGAGCTGCGAGCCGCAAGGCGCCGCTCGAGAGGCTGCTTGGGCCGCCCCAGCGCCAGTTTCCGATGATCCAAGGGTATTCTAAGCCGAAGTTTGATTGGGGAGGGTCGATAAGGAATCTTAAGAGTGCCTGAGGCAGGTCCTCCGGGTGACTGCGGGATGGTGGGCTGGAGCGGTTGGTGGAATCCCAGCCTGCCAGGAAAAAGCCTGTGATCAGCCGCAAGGCAGGTTCTTAATTCCTGAGGTGGGATTCGGGTCCCCTAATTCAGCCACTGCGCCAAAGCTGCCCGGTTTCGTGGATTTCGTGGACAAATAACTCATATGTTCGTATTTCAAATCTAGGGTACAGAGCAGCTACTGTATGCTACCCAGGAAAATATCCAAAATACATACTTCCATACATACACAATTCTTTCGTACAAGTGCCTGTCCCCATACACACAAGTTAGCAGATGTATTGCTAATTCGGAAAGCTGACCTGGCTATTTTTTGTTCACCTCACAACTGCCCAAGTGTGTTGAGACACATCTCTCCTGGAGGGGACACATCCTGTTTAAATTGGAACTTATGCAAATCTGCAATGGATCTCATCCTAGCTGTGAAACTCTGCGAAGCTAGAACTGAAGATCCACTATGGGCAGAGAAGAACGACCTAGAGTAAAGTCCTAAAGAAAACCCGGTGGAGCAGGCGTGTACACGGCTATGAAGAATTACAAGTGCTTGGTGTTGGCTCAGAAACATAGGGGAAAAGGTCGTGGAGGCCAAACGACTCCTGCTGGTCTCAACCCCGCACTGCTGGGGGCGTTTGGCCTCTAAACGCCTTTCTGGGAGGTCAGCTACCAAGTGCCCTGAGTCTGCTGTATACAACGGAGGGGCAAGCTGCCTGGGCCATTGGTGGATTTAGGTGCCCACCATTCGGACACAGAGCTGGTGCGGCAGGATTCACTGACTGTAGTGGTTGTTTGGGCAGGAGTGTTGGCAGTGACCAGTTCATACCCTGCCTTACCCCCAACAAGCATAAGGGACTAAGGGACGGCGCCACAGCCCTGTTTGAGGACACACTGGACACACCTGATTATGGCCCTCAATGTGTACCGAGGGCAACACACTGGGCGCGAAATACAACACACACACATACACACGCACACGAACGCGCGCGCGCATACACACACACACACACACACACACACACACACACAGGCCGTCGCCAGAGAAAAAACGAAGACTGATCATCGAAGGAGGTGTTCACAAATGCTGCCAAGACACCTCGATTCCCACCCGCATTACTCAGCATTGCTGAACTAGGGCGCCGTAGCTTCCAAAGGACGGAAACAAACTCTAGTGAAGAAAGGATGCTGGTGCTTAGGAAGAGATGGGCTTGCATCTCCAGTACCGGATGCGGCGAAAATTCGTTCTGGCGCGTGTGGAGAATCTGAGGTCTAGCATCAACCTGCGCGGTACCTCCCTAGGCTCAGCAGAAGGTGCGCTCACCTACCTGGTCCCAAGGATCCATTTTCCCACTCGTCAGAGGGCTTTAAGTTGGGAACCTGACACAGACCTACTTTAGGCTAAATGCAAGGCCCGCCTGGAACCTCGGGTTCCTGAGTCTGTGAGGGGAGACGCAGGTGAGAGGGGTCCCATCATTTCCTCAGCTCAAGGCCGCGTCCCGCTCCCGCCCGCGCCGGCCCCAGCACGGTTCTACCATGGCTCCCCACTCACCAGCTCCGGCTACCTGAGTTCGGCTCCCGGACCTCGGTCGCCCGAGCCTCCTGACTTGCCCGCCCACCGGCCTCGCTTTCCAGTGCCCGCAGCCTCCCTCCGAAGTGCATGGACCCGGGGCGGTGACCGGGAGTGGGGTGGGAGGCCAGGCAGGGGCGCAGGCCAGAGCGGCCGGGCCTCCGGGCGCGGGAGGGAAAGGGCGCCCCCTCTCCTCTCCGGAACGTGTCAATGCTTTGCACTTGGGGCCGGCATGTGGCTTGGGGTCCTTCCCCAAGGCCCTGGGACCCGGGCGCCCCCTGCCTCGGGCCCTTTCGGCGGGTCAGATCGGCCCTCCACGCTTTCCAGCCCTCGCCCAGGCAGCGGCCCGCGCGGGCGGCGGGGTGGGGGCCAGGCCAGGGGGAGGGGTCTCGGGGCCCGCTGGCCGGTCATTGGTTAATATTTTATTCTGTTGACATGTTTTCTTACTGCTGAGGCTTCCGACACCTTCTCCCAGGCCCCCCCTCCCGTCCAGAGCTTGGCCTGAGCTGTCAAAACCCCGCCCCCGGAGACCCACAATTGGTCCAAAAAGCGTAAAATCAGCAATCAAGGGGGGCCTGGCTCGTTAGCGCAGGGGATCCGAGCAGGGCAGGACATGTGAGATAGTCACAGTTTTCCAGAGATCAGGACAAGATCTAACCAGTCGCGCGTGGTCCCCGGCGCCGGAGCCGGCCAGCCCAGCCCAGCCCAGCCCCGCGCAGAGCCCCCTCCGCCCCCGCTCTCACAGCCCCGCGCCCCTTGAGGTGCGCGGGACTGGGAGCCGGGAGAAGCCGCTGCCGCGCCTGTCGCCGGGGCCGTCAGTCCTCCGCGCGCACCACCGCCCGGGCCGGGGGTCCGAGCCGCGCTCCCCCGGCCCCGGCCCCGGCTCCCGGGTGCCTGGGCCGGATGTCCCGATGAGAGAGCCGGCGCTGGCAGCCAGCGCCATGGCTTACCACCCGTTCCACGCGCCACGGCCCGCCGACTTCCCCATGTCCGCCTTCCTGGCGGCAGCGCAGCCCTCCTTCTTCCCGGCGCTAGCGCTACCGCCTGGCGCGCTGGCCAAGCCTCTGCCCGACCCGGGCCTGGCGGGGGCGGCGGCAGCGGCTGCAGCGGCCGCAGCGGCCGCCGAGGCGGGGCTGCACGTCTCGGCACTCGGCCCGCACCCGCCCGCCGCGCATCTGCGCTCGCTCAAGAGCCTGGAACCCGAGGACGAGGTGGAGGACGACCCCAAGGTGACGCTGGAGGCCAAGGAGCTGTGGGACCAGTTCCACAAGCTGGGCACCGAGATGGTCATCACCAAGTCCGGGAGGTAGGGTGGCCGGTAGGCTGGCGGGCGGGCGGGCGGGCTGGGGGACCGGACAGCACCCACCAGCACCGGGCTAGTACTCTTGGCTTCCCCGCTCCGGCCCTGGCGCCACGCTCCTCTGCACAGACAAGCGAGCTGACTTTTTTCGTTTGGCACCGGAGCTAATTAAAAAGAAAAAAGCAAACATCCCTCGATTGAAATAAAACGAAAACACTCTCTAAAGAATAGTCCCAATCATTCTGAGTCTCAAAGTCCCGGTGGCTCGACCCTGGCGGGTCTCCTCTCTACTCCTTGAGGTCTCGTTTTTCTGCCTCAGGGTCGGTCTCGGGGCTCCTAGGAGAAGGAGCCTTACCCGAATTCTCCACTCCATAGTGGGACTAGCATTCCGCCTCCTGCTAGCCACAGACAGAGCGTTCGGTTCCGCAGTGGGTCTGGAGTTGTTGAGCCGACAACTAGGCCCTGGGAGAGTCTTGCTTGTCCTTGGAGCTTGGAGCTCAAGACGAGCCACCTCCTGAGGCCTTAAAGCCAGAAGGAAAACCCCAAACCTCCCAGCACTTCAGGCTCTGAGAGTCCAGGCCTCAGATTCACCCTGTTCCCCCGAACTCCAGGCTCAGGATCCCAGATCAAGATTATATACACGTCGTTTCCCCAGACAAAGACCTTGCTAATTTATTTCTACGAGTCCTGTCCAAATTGTGTATTTCCTCTGAACGAATTTCAGGGCAATTTAGGAAAACCCAGCGTATTTCTAAAGGGCCTAGTTTCCTTTCCTGGGCACCAGCCTTCATCTCAGATCAGTGTGGAGAAAAGGTTCGCAGATCTGAGGGCAAAGCTCATGCAAGGCTTTGCAAAACAAGTTCTGGCCAGCAGAAATGAGATGCCTCGGAAGTTACAACCTCAGGTTGGGTCTTCCCAGCGGCAGTAAGAGCACAGCATATATATGTAGAGGAGTTCATAGCAAACATAGACGGGGTAACTTCAGGCAGGGGTGTCCTGTCATCAGGAAGGTAAAAGGGGCAAAGAAAAGCCGGGTCCCAATGGCATGTCCCCTTCCCTCCCTCCGAGGCGGATGTTCCCCCCCTTCAAGGTGCGAGTCAGCGGCCTGGACAAGAAGGCCAAGTACATCCTGCTGATGGACATTGTGGCTGCCGATGACTGCCGCTATAAGTTTCACAACTCTCGGTGGATGGTGGCGGGCAAGGCCGACCCGGAGATGCCCAAGCGCATGTACATCCATCCGGACAGTCCGGCCACGGGGGAACAGTGGATGGCCAAACCTGTGGCTTTCCACAAGCTGAAGCTGACCAACAACATTTCTGACAAGCATGGCTTTGTGAGTGTGGGCAGAGCGGGAAGCTGTTGAGAACCTGGGTGCCTGTGTTCTGCTGCTGTTGAGTGGGTAGAGGGATTTCTAGGGGGCCTGTCTGGGTCACTGCCCTGAGGCCCAGGTAGCAGGGCCTGGGCTTCTGCGGCCCCTGTTCTGCATGCCTGGAAAAGAGCGTGTGGACAGTTGGTGGGAAGTTCCAGGCTGCTTGCAATGTCAGTTCCTTTCTGTGGGGGTTTTGAGAGCCCCTCCTAGAGTCAAGACTGAGGCAGGTGCTACAGGGAATGGGCCCAGCAGCTCAGGTCCCGTGGTGGCCCGTTGTAGATGCTGAACTTGGAGAAGTTGCCAGGACTTACTCCTGTAGCTAACTCTTACCTAAGGCTAGAAGATCCAGAAATTAAACCCACACTCTTTGGAGACCTTTCCCTCCAGCAAGGCAGATGTTCAGTCAAGGGACAGTATGAGGAACTCTCCATTTCTGCTTGAGCCAAAATCCCAGCCAATGATGGGGGCTCATTGGGCAAGGGGGACTCCATTTGCACTACAGGCTGTTGTGGGCCTTCCTCCACGCCTGCTTCTCATTCCTTACTATTCCAGGAGTTTACCAATGCCAGGGAAAGTGAAGCCAAAGCATGGAGTCGGGTTTTGGTGGTTTCTGTTTTGTTTCATTTCTCTCCAGCTGGGAGGTGTAATAGAAAAACTGGTTGTAAAAAGAAAAACATGAGAAAAGTAGAAAAAGGAGTGCAGGTGGAGAGAGAGAGAGAGAGAGAGAGAGAGAGAGAGAGAGAGAGAGAGAGAGAGAGAGAGAGAGAGAGAGAATGAAAGCTGTCAGTCCTGTAGGGCAGGGCAGGGAACTGCTGGCTGAAACCCACGCTCTTCGCAGACCATCCTGAACTCCATGCACAAGTACCAGCCTCGCTTCCACATCGTCCGAGCCAATGACATCCTGAAGCTCCCGTACAGCACCTTCCGCACCTACGTCTTCCCAGAGACTGACTTCATCGCTGTCACTGCCTACCAGAATGACAAGGTGTGCTGGGCGGGAAGTGGACTCGGTCCCTACATCCATCTACACCCTGCAGCATGGCCACATGTACAGGTTCTAAACCTCCATTCAGACCCACCCAACAGCAGGGGCATCGCAGAGAGCTTGAAGAACTCACCACCCATCCAGACTTGCAAGAGCAGCACCCACATAAATCCCCGGGGCTCCCTCTCAGACCTACACAGACACATATACTCCCCTGAGGCACTCAAACAGCTGGGCCATAGTTGGAGTGGAGATGTTTACTTAGCAATTAGTAGAGACTCAGGCTCCCGCTGACATTTTTACATTTTATTCGTTCATTTCTTGGCTCATGACTGGGAATCTAAATGAAAAGAGGGCGCCCGGGGCAATCTGCCCAAACTCTACAGATGCTAAGAACGCAGGGTCCAAGTTTTACTCTCCAAGGGAGCCAAAGCGTAGGACAGGTGGCACAGCTCTGGTGAGCGCCTCTAATCCACTTGTCTGGGTCCATCCAGGCCCCAGGCCCTTTGAGAAAAAGTAAGAGAATTTTCCTTCAGGTGAAAGGGCTTTTTCTACTTGTCTGCGCCCTCATAGATCTGAGTGGATTAACTGAGAGGGCCCCAGTATCTTTGGTTGTGTCTTTGTAAACCAGGTGTCTGCCTGGCCACATACACTATATGGAGTATGTTAGCTACATGTGGAAGCTAGTGAATCCGTTGGAGTCTATAGACACTTGTTTATTTTTAGTTTTTGTAAACTTGCTTTGCTGGGCCTGTGAGTACAATGATTTGTCCTTGCCTGGACCTGTGGACTTGGGTGTACGAGTACTTTTTGTTGGGGTACTGTTTGTCAGTGCTCTGGTTCAGAATAGTTTAGCCCGAGTGACTTCATGAGCCTATTTGTTTGCTTGGGCCTGTGTGTGCCTGTTGAGGGATTTTTTTTTTTTTCTTGAATAAGAAAGAGACCCTGTCACTTTCCTAGATGCTTGCCTGCCGGCTTTACCTCCCGGCTTCCTATCCCGGGTGGGAGGCACGACCCCACCTACTCTGGCTCTCTACTCTGCGGCCGGGCCGGCCGTAGCGCTGGCCTCGGGGTGCCCCAGGCCAGGCTAGAAGAGCCGGGTCTTGACTTAGTGCCCCTTCCTCGGTCCCACAGATTACACAGTTGAAGATCGACAACAACCCGTTTGCCAAGGGCTTCCGGGACACCGGGAATGGCCGTCGGGAGAAAAGGTGAGACATCAGAGGGTGGCCGGTGGCTCGCACACCGGTCACAGGAAGCTGAAGGGGCGCGATGACTGCTGACCGCTCCTTCTTCTCTCCCCCAGGAAGCAGCTAACGCTGCCGACTCTCCGCTTGTATGAGGAACACTGCAAGCCGGAGCGTGACGGCGCGGAGTCCGATGCCTCGTCCTGCGACCCTCCGCCTGCTCGTGAACCACCGCCCTCTCCCAGTACAGCAACCAGTCCCCTGCGCCTGCACCGGGCCCGAGGTGAGCGGCGTGGTTGATCCGAGTCAGGGAAGAAGGAATAAGGAAGTGTCCCCGTGGGGTGCCCCTTAAAGTCTTTTGTTCAGGGATGGGCTAATCTTAAAGGCCTGGGTAAAAGTTACTGGGAATTTCCAGCCTGGTACTCCCATGTAAGAACTCCCTGGCAGT